GTCTACACAAAACAGGTATTATGCCAAAAAGTCTAGTGAACATGAACATGAACATGAACATGAACATGAAATAAGCAAGAGCAATATAATTATCTAAAACCATTTATAATCCATGTATAAAATTTGTTTGGAATCAACGCGAGAGACTAGTATTCATTGAAAGTGAAGGGAACACATAAGTATGTCACTCCTACAACGTTTTCGCGTGACATTTCAAAACTTACAGTCCAAGTGTCCCAAAGACCTCTTAACAAGTTTTATCTTAAGAATCGGTTGATCTTATGTCTATTCCTACGAATAACACCTCAAGGCTTGACACACTTAATGTCTACCTCCAAGGTAACACCTCAAATGGCGGAGTTCTTAGTGCCTACCTTCAAAGTAACACCTAAAAACTCAACCCTCCTAATACCTACTTGAAGATCCATCCACTCATTTAATGACAAAATGGGACATTCATACAATCTAATGAGGTAAATATACTTCGTAACTCAAATGAAAGGCTAGCAGTCCAACCACCATGTTTCTCATATTCAATAAAATCCTCAATTTACAATGACCCCAAGTTAGGTCAACAATGTTACATAATAAAAACCCCAAGACTTTAAGCCAATCTTCATGTGATCACTTTCCAATTAAGGTTTAATCATGGAAAAGGATAGATTTATGACCTCAATAAAATTTCTTCCTTCAAATGCACAAAGTGTCCTCAAATGAGGTTATATGACTAAATCATCAAAAAAATGAGATAATACTTGAAGTAAGGATAGAAATGTAAGCAAGGTAAACATTTTGAGATGTATCTAGTTTTACAAAGCATTTTTAACTCACTCGCTTGGTTTTCTTTATAAAAAACCAAGAAATCGATTTATCATGTATCTAGTTTTTTGAAGTTTGATCCTATACTTGAATCCTTTAGCCTAGAAGCCCTTAAATGCTCCCAAGAAACCGATTTCCTGGACTTGAGTGCTTCTAAGCTGAATTTAATGGGAAGGGGGACAGGTAGATATGAGAATTTAATGAAATAAGAGATGAAATCTCGCATTTATGTCACTGCTACGATTTGTGACATTGGCATGCGACCCTAGGGTCGCGGCTCAAGGGTCACTCGTGTCTAAAAAGGACACTCACGGTACATGAAAGTGCTATGTTGTTCTTGCGATGCTAGGGTCGCGGCTTAAGAGTCGTTGATCCCCAAATCTCCTAGGTATTGTACAAAACTTACGACCTTGGCATGTGATGCATGAGTTACAATGTTAGGGTCGTACCTCCCGTTATTTGAAATTAAGCAGATCTCTAGTTAGCATCTTGCAGTTGCGACTTGTACAATAGAATAACTAATTGCAACTGATTCTCAAAATATTATATACTAAAGGTAAATCCAAGACCACTGCCTTTTCATATCCTCTTCGGCTTTCTAAGTCAAGTTTGCTCCCTGATGATGCTTACCTTGAACCTTGACCACAGTCACTTCTTTGTGACGAAATTCCTTTGACCTTCTTTCTAAAATGGCGTCAAGTTCTTCCACACATCGGTTGTTTCCATCCACATGAATTTCTGATAAAGGAACGACACTTTCTTCTTCCGCCAAGCACTTACGCAAATAACACACGTGGAATGTTGATAACTATGAAATTTCAAGTTTTAATATATGTTAATAGACTTAAAACCCCCATTTTTGTGTTGTTTTATCCTTAAAATATATTTGTTTGTGTCCCTTATTATCTTTATTGTTGAATAGGAATAAAAAGGTGTAACATAGTTTTTTTAATATGCTTGGCAATTGCCTCTAAATGTGTATTATTTATTTAATAAGGTAGATTATGTGTTTTTATTATGCTCTATAGAGGACTTGTAGCAAAATCTTTAAGAATTTGAAGGGTTTCATAGGTTGTTATAGAAACCAACAACTTCATTCTCTCGTTCAAAGTTTGAATAACTATGAACTCAAGGTCTTCAAACTTTGTCTTCAGATTTAATATTTAGCGCTCGTCGGGTCTTTAGACTCGTAAAACTTTGAAATATTCTTTTCCAGAGATCTGAAGAATGTCTCTTCAGACTTGTAAAACTTTGAGGTTTTCTTTTCTAGAAATCTGATAAATGTCTTTCAGCGTATAGTTCAACCAGAGGAGCTCTGGTCCTGAATGATCGTGAACCAGAGGTTCTGGTTGCTCTTTCAGTGAATCCTCCATCCTAGCGTTCAGAGACTCTGGTCGTCTAGAGGGTCTCTGGTTGGTCTGAATTCTGGGTGGCTTTGCTTTTGGCTGTTCAATTGAACCTTAAAAGGCTTGTAAGATGAGTTGTGGAACCTTCACACTGACGGGCTAAGTAGGAGACCCAGAGGCTCTGCATGTGCTATGCAGAGGCTTTGTATCTGGGAGTTGAGCTTTGTATCCGAGTACTTGGCTATTTGCGCGCAAGACTTCGGTCTTCATACCCTCGGTGTCTGAGCTCTGTGACCAGGATCTGCATCCGAGCTCTTGGTTTCGGGCAACTTTATGACCAAGTCCTTTTAGACTATATCATCTTCAGACTTTGTCTTCATATGTGACACTTAGCATCCAGAGCATAGTTCATCCAGAGGGGCTCTGGCCCTTAGAACTTAGTATCTAGAACCAAATGACTTTAGTATCCAGAGGTGCTTCGGTCATCCATAAGAGCTTTGGTCCTGAATGCTTGTGCACCAGAGGCTCTGGTCTTTAGAACCAAAGGCTTTGGTTACTCTTCCAGACTTAGCCGCTTTAGTAGTGCATATTCTCTGAACCTTCCATTTTTGGCCCAAATTATTTTAATTAAACTTTAATAATATTTAGGCCTATTTTATTCCTAACACCTTTTCTTTCATATATACAACATACATCATTTTACATCACCATCAATGTTTTTGCTTTAGATATACATGGTTTTTAAGTAAGCAGATCTTATTTTGAATGTTTCAAAAATAAAAAAAAGGTGAATGAAAAATATGATAAACCATGAAAGCCTTTTTGAAGGGGGTGCCTCGTAATTTCGTTAGAAAAGAGTTGTAACCTTTATCTAGTATGTTGTAGTTTCTCTTTAGTTGCTGGTCTCCAAGTGTCTTGAATATAGCGAGTATTCCAACCTCCATGGATAGCTGAACAAATTAAATCACACCACATTAATTAATTGTTAAATGGTTCTAACAAAAATCGTTAATAAGTACATAAAGATAAAGACAAAACTTTACTGTGACTTCTATGTTTTTTTTTTTGAAAGGTAAAAAAGAAAGGACGAGGAGGAGAGCTTCGACATGACCATCACCCTCACCAAGCCAACCAATATATAAAACAACAGATCCAGCAAGAAGCTAGACACAAGAGGATACAAAATTCACCACAACAAGCGAGAACAAAAGAAACAAAAACGAAACATCCCCAGACGAAAGCCAAAACAAACCCAAACCAAAGACAAGCAAAGAGACTAAACAAACCTTTTTCATCTCATGAAACGTGTTGACCATGTGGACGTCTGCCCATGAGTTCAAGGCGGAGACTAATATTGCTTCAATATTTGAGAAAAATTTAGAACCTTCAAATTGTTAACCGAAAATAGTAATATACACTACAACAAAATCAGGTCTATATGACGTTAAATTTTTTTAAGTATCCTAACAGACCATTTTATAATACTCAATTTATAGAAACAAAAAATAAAACGTCCTATCTAAAGACGTTGTAATAAGTTTATAAAATGTTTTGAACGTCTTAACAAGAGACATTTTTAATACAAATCGTTGCATTAGAAATTTTACAGGATACTATTTAAAAAAGTATCATATAAAAACAAGTATCGTATAAAAAGATGAGTTTATAGGACACTAAGAAAGCGCCCTATAAAATTCTCAATGTGACGCTTTGTAATAAAAGTGTCATAAAAAATTGGTAGGATGTCTAAAAGTGTATTATAAACTTTATTACAACGCCTTTAAATACGACTCTTTATATTTTAGTCATATAAACTGAAGTCTTATAAAATAGTCTATTAAGATCAATTGAAAATTAGTGACGTCATATACACTCAATTTTATTTATTATGTTTTTGGATTATTATAAACTAATAGGAAAAAACTTTAGATTAGTAATATAACATTATATGGTAACTTAAACATTATTTTTTTATGATATTTTAAAACAAATTTTTATATACAATTGATATTAATAATTTAATATATAGTAGGTGAAAGGAAAAATAACAAAAACTAGAAACTGCAAAGTAAGAGACTCAAATCCCTGACCTCAAGATAGGGGCCAAGAGATAATAACCATTTAAGCTACCATCACATGTTTTTTTTTTGATGTTCATACATGGTATTTCAGTAAAAAAACCGGCGCGACATGGCCCCCAAAAGCCCCTATAGTGTTCCGCCACCAGGAGTCGGGAGGGAAGGTCGAAGGGAATTAGGGAAGCGTTTCTGCGTTTGATTATTGGTCTACTCGAGGTGTCAATCAAAGAGGCGTTCGATGTCATACAGTCATAGGTGTCGATCGAAGAGACGAATCTCTGATATAAACGAGCTTGGGCTATGAATGATGCCCCTTGGACTGTGGATGCCCTAGGCAAAGACCCATGTCGCCGGGTCGGTCCCGGAGAGAACCAACTTCATTTCTTGATTACGATGCTTTCTTGATGCAAAATAGGTAATTTCTTGAGTACAAGTTCCGAGAAGGTTTTTGGGTGAATTCACTCCATCCAGACCCCCGGCTGAATGAGATGCACTCGGCTTGTTGGGATTCGTTTGTTGAGCACAAGGGCTACTCTTGTAGTAGCCTAATTCTTCAAGGATTTTTAGAAAAAAAGGATCTTTAATATATAGCAGCTGTAGCAGTCATTCTTAGAATAGTGGTACTCCTAGAGGTCCTAGGGGGCTTATTTTGAGGCTTATTAATGAGTTGAACAACTTATTCTCACAGCAGCTTATTGACACTTTGGCTTATCTGGTAAGATGGGTAAAGTGTGTTGTCCCAGTTCAGTTCAGCCAGAAAAAACCACCTCTACCCCTGATATTTTTACCACCCAAATCTGAAAAAAATCGAACCTGACAACGAGATCTCTCCACTCCAAATCCGAACTAAACTCTCGATTTCTCCGAAGACGCTCCTTCAACCGTACGCAACGATTTCTCCACTCTCGATATCTTGAAAGGTACGATTTTTCTTCCACCCACTGTCGATTTTTCTCGATTCGATTCATACGTCGAGTTTGCTTCAATTTCTTCAACTCACTGTAGATTTTGTTATTGTTCTACTCGATTTTGCTTGTTCGATGCCTACATTGATTTCTTGTTATAATTTCTACTCGATTTCTTGTTCGATCAGAGCATAGCATGACCGTAGGTGAGTGTGAGGTAGCCTGCAGGTTTGTTGCTCCAGCTCCAACTTCTGCTTTTTAAATCTCTTTCAGGGGCTGTTTTTGTTTGTTGCTCCAACTTCTGTTTTTGCAGCGTTGGTAAAATATAGAAATGCGATTAGTTAAAGTTAGGGAAGCAGATTGTACCAAAGTTCAGTTTCAACTGGTTGCTAAACTTGTTGCATTTTGTGCATGAAGGTCTTATAGTTTCTGAATCTGGCTTCAACAAAATGATTCAGAATACTCATCATCAGACTTGTCAATTTTGTTTTGTACATCTTCTTTCTAATGTATTATTGTGTACATATTTTTTCTAAACCGATTTTGCTTCTACTGATTTCTACTGCTTTGTTTGAAGCACCATAATAGCACCCATATGGAAGATTCATACCGAGGGGTAAATATGTCATTTTTTTTTCATTCAGACCGTTGATTCAGAAACAAAAAGTAAATACCAACGCCAATTTTATCCGTACAGGACTTGAAATTTGGTAAACAACCCCTTAGTTGGCTCTGATTTCTCTTCCATTAAATCGATAATCAAATGCAAATAATCTACTTTGAGTACAGATTTCGAGATGCGATTGTGCTAGGATCTTGCAATTTTGTTCCAAAATGTGTGAATTTGTGCATTTCTTTCGGTTCTATTAGTGTTGTTGAGTATGAAACTGAAATCATGGTGATTTGACTGTTTTTATAATTTTGGCAGTGGAGTAAACAATGTGGAAACTAAAGATCGCAGAGGGAGGGAGCCCATGGCTGCGTACGACAAACGATCACGTCGGCCGGCAAATTTGGGAATTTGATCCTAAGCTAGGTTCCCTTGATGAACTCGCTGATATCGAAAAAGTTCGACAGGCCTTTCATGACAATCGGTTCGAAAAAAAACACAGCTCAGATCTGCTTATGCGCAGTCAGGTACATTTTAATGAATGCCACCCGTTACACGAGCCGGATATAAGGTTACAAAATGTGTTTTTAAAAACACCCATTTCTAATTGATATGCAAGGATTTTACATTGGTTTTATCTGAAAAATCCAAACACATATAGGAGATAAAAGTACTTTTATTCTATGTATATGAACATATCTGCAGGTTGTGTTGGTACTTGTTGCCATTGAACGAGATTAGAAAAATGCAGGTTATAATTTCCTATTTACATGTATGGGGTCATTGCATTTTGGTCTCTCTAGTCAAAAGGTAGTCATATTGCCTAAATGTTGAGTTACATGATTGGTGACCCCAGCACAAGACAAGATATGATCAAATGACGAAAGATACGAAGTACAAGTCATATGAATGAATTAGATGACCGAGTAATGAATGATATGGTCCTACCTCTAGTGTCAGCATTCTATCCTCTCAATTCATGCCTTGTTCTACCTTATCTAGGTGTGGACCTATGGCTTGAATATCCCTGGCTAGCACGTGTTTTGCCTTGCACGCCTATGGACAAAAAAGGAAAAGAAGAGTGAATTTGCATGTCATAAGTAAAGTTCATTTAAATCCTTGTTAGTTTACAACTGGATAATTATCGTAGGCCTTTCCTGTTTGTTTAAACCAGGCTAGTTAGTTATAGGATAATAGTTAGGTTTTTGCTCTGGTCAGGAAAAACCCTCACATACATGGTTTAACTTGTTCTTTTCTCTTCAACAGTTTTCTAAACTAAACGAAACTTCTGATGGTAGGTGAAACCGTTCCAGAAAAGGCTGCTTTTGTCTGGCTGTAGTAAAAAATTTGGAGAAAAGTCATTTCTAGTGGTTCTTTACATGAGGATAGCAGCTAATCTCTTATATCTTTGGCATAAGGAAGCATGAACGCAGGGCGTTCCAATATGAGATACGGAACAAGTGCCCCCAAAATTTTGTGGGTCCAACTAATCATGTTTTAGTCTTGTGTTCTAACATCTATCCCAATTATACATGTTTTAGCCCAATCATAACGTTTCAGGCTTTAACTCTTTTAGCTGATTTGGTGATTCCTGATTAAAAAAATAAATGTAAGAATGAGTCTATTTAAGTGAATTTCATATATTACCTTGTATTTTTAAAACATTTTTGTTGTTTTAAACTGTAAGAACTTTAATATAATATATGGTATGAATTTTTGTATCTTGTTATATTTATTACTCGTCAGTTGATCTATATTTTTGTTGTAGGTGTGACAGGGCCTCCAAAAAAATTTGTAACGGCCCTGCATGATTGCCACCACATACACATGTTGTTATGTATAATCGATATACATTTAATCACAGTTCCGTTAGGTTTCTCTCTCCCCTACGGCATACAGATGTACTTTGTCCTCCCATATTTATAAGATATGTATTCTGTTGCCTCTTGGGGATTTTCAAGATATTTCTTATGCTAGTAACTGCTGTGTCTTAACCCATTCTACATTGTGTTTGTTTGGTTAATGGCAGAAGTACTGAACTTGAAATGCCTTCATGACATCAGATGATGAAATATTTAGATTTTTTTATTCCATAAGCTTCTGTTCTCGGTTCTAAGCTTCTGTTTTTGGTTGTTCTAATGTATCCTTGGACATCTAATACTATTTTCTGTTTTTTTTTAAAAAAAAATTGTAGTTCGCAAAGGAGAACTCACTCTCTGTTTTCCCACCAAAAGTCAATATAAAAGATGCTGAAGATATTACGGAAGATAAAGTAACCAATGTATTAAGAAGAGCTATTGGTTACCATTCGACCCTCCAAGCAGATGATGGACATTGGCCAGGAGATTATGGAGGCCCTATGTTTTTATTGCCTGGTTTGGTTAGTCTTATCTTTTCTCACCAAGTTGTAGCATTTGTACTACAGTGTCTTAAGTTAAAAACAATATTTCCATCCCTGTGAGAGTGCCAGCTGCCAGAAGTATCTTGTAGTTTAACTTTCCAGATATTGCAGTTGTCAGCATGGAAGCCTTTAAATTTTATCTGCAGATGCTACCTTCTTTAAGTGATCAATAATCAATGTAAATGCTGACTGTACAAGTTAATCTGATGAATCAGGTTATTACTCTAACTATTACTGGGGCACTGAATGCAGTCTTATCCAAAGAGCACAAACGGGAGATGTGCCGTTATCTTTACAATCATCAGGCATGTATAGTTTAGTGTTTTTCTTTATTTGGATATGCCCTTATGATATTTCTGTAACTGTAGTTCTAGGCAACAATCACTGGACATGTATAGCTTAGTGTTTGTCTTTATTTGGGATATGCCTTATGATAACTGCATAAATGTAGTTGCTTCTCCTATGTTTTGAACTTCCTTTTATATCTTCTGTATTTTTTATGTCATAATTAGAATAGAGACGGTGGATGGGGTCTACACATTGAGGGGCATAGCACCATGTTTGGTAGTGCCCTGAACTATGTTACTTTGAGATTGCTGGGTGAAGGAGCTAATGATGGAGAAGGGGCAATGGAGAAGGGGCGGAAGTGGATCTTGGACCATGGCGGTGCTACTTCAATAACATCTTGGGGAAAGTTCTGGCTTTCAGTATAGCAACTTGCCCCTGATCTTGTTTATTTGAATCTATGTTACCTATCTATGCGTCTTATATTTTGCTAAAATTAGGTACTTGGGGCATTTGAGTGGTCTGGAAATAATCCGATGCCCCCTGAGATGTGGATCCTTCCATATTTCCTTCCGGTGCATCCAGGTGAGTGCTTTGTATTCGTCATCATGATGCAAATATTATATAATTTGTAGTAAATCTTACTTCTAGTTTCTTCAATTCAAAATATTTCATCAGTTTAGTGGTAAATTGACTGCTAAAAACTTTATTATTTTTGTCATGTTTTCGTTTTTTGGAAATGAATCACGTTCATAGCGTATGGCTAATATTCTTAAAAGCTCAGATCTGGTGCAAGAAGACAAATCTATCTGATTAAACAAAGTAACAGCCATGTGATTGAGCCCTATGCTTTTACAACCGTCAAAATTCAAAATAGTGGTCACAACCGTGATTTGATATAGTGGTTATCGGATGGTAAAGCGGTCCATAAAATAATTAGAATTATATATATACGTATATATAATACTTTATATAGTATATGTATTCAACAAAAAATATACAGTTTAAATATCAAAACATCAACTTAAACAAGTCAAGCTTTACTCAGACAAAATAGCAAAAGAGTTTGTATAATTCTTGAACCCGTTGACCGTTAAACAGAAGTTGTAGGTTAAAAAAGACCGGTTAGCAAACCTGTCGACTGTTTTCCTTGTGAAACAGTGGAAGAACCAAAAAAACCTTGTGGTGGAACTTGGAAGAACCAAAGAAGCTAAAGGTGAAAAAACTGCCATTTTTAGCAAATAGCGGCTATAGCACCGCTATATTCGCTATTTTGAAACCAAATAAGCGCTAGATAGCGGTATTTAGTGGCAATAATAGCAGAAACACTATTCTGACCGCTATTTTACCATCGCTATTGTTCCCAAGATAGCAAACCGCTATTGCACCACCATAGCGGCATGATTAGCAACATATTTACATGTATTCTTGATGTAGTATGTAGATGAAGTTTCATGGATGAATTTATTTAACATCAATCAGTTTGATGCTTGTATATCGACTCGTGGCTTTGTAAGTATGAATATGTATAGATAGTTCAGTCTGCTCATCATTGGATGTCTAGGTTTCCTGCTTTATTGGCATTGTGATGTTGATATGGTTCATCAGATGCTAAAAGTTAGTTACTATCTGACTAAACCATTACCCCAACATTTCAGGTAGGATGTGGTGTCACTGTCGAATGGTTTACCTGCCTATGTCATACTTATATGGGAAGAGGTTTGTTGGACCTATCACATCTACAGTTCTAGCCTTGAGAAAAGAGCTGTTTACTGTCCCCTATCATGACATAGATTGGAATGATGCACGAAACCTTTGTGCTAAGGTTTGTATACTTGTTCCATTCGCTTACTTTCATGTACATACTCAGCTTTCATGATGCTTTGATATTTAGTTCACAACAGCACATACCACAGACTGAAGTTTGTAAATGTCCCTGGTTATTTCTAGTCAGACTATTGAGTCGATCATAGTTAGATGCTTTAATATAACAGAGTTATATTTTTTTTCTCGTATGATGGCATATAATGGAATGGTAAATAGAACACTTCTTAGATGTAGTTTGATTACTTAATCCCAGTTGATAAATATCTTATTTGTCGTAAACCTTGCGGCAGCTGAGAGAAACCCTTTGGGAATTAGAATAATCTTTCTCCAAGCAGCCACTTATAGGTGATATTAATTTCAGAGCTCAAATTGGTTTTTTGTTATGTTAATCTTCAATCTCAATTAATTGTTTACGAAATTCAGAATGGTGTACTTGTCTTTCTGCACCTTGTATTACAAGATCATCATACTAGTAAAACCACCCAAAACAGGAAACAGAAGAAAGACACTATTAAGTGTCATACTTTCATCTTATGACATGCTGCAAGATGCATCTACTTTCTAATATTACAGAAGGTAACTTTGTTCTGCTCCGAATACAAATACTGAAATACATTTTACTCGATAAACCAATCCTTAGTATCTTTATCATCATATTCTTTTCATATTTCTGTTTTCTCTAAGACTTCCTTTGTTATGGTTCGACTTGTTCCTGTTCCTTGTTTGACCTCTTTTTGAATCAATGGTGCAATTTCATTGATGATTGAAATCATTATTGAACATGTGCATGTAAAGAAAAAATTGGATGCTGTAACTCGTTTTTTGATCAATTGGCTTCCCTTGACTAATGTCGTTATGGTTCCTTCTATACTTGAGTGCGGACTTATATGGCCTAAACTGATTGATCCTTCTGCAAAGAGAGTCTATGTTTCCAGGAGTGTTGGACTTGCTTGCCTTACTTTCTGTCCCCCTTTCAAGTATTTGGTGTTTAGATATAGGCGTTATGTCATTCTACATTTTTGATACTTCTTTGGATTTCGTCTGGGTTATTTATTTCTCAGTTTGTGGCAAATTATTGTATCTATATAGCGGTGCTTTAGTTAGTGGACTTAGATTTGAAAATTTATTTTTAAATGGTAAAAGAGCCACAACTTTAGATAATCAACCCTAATAAAAAAAACTGGTATGAAAATTCCGTACTATTTTCTGATAACCCTTTTGGATGTGAAGTGTCGGTGTTTTCTTGAGTAGTTAGATTGCCATTGTTTATTATTAGGGAATCTCCGATTGATTTGATTCATATTTTAGTATCATATTCCTGTGTAGTAATCATGCTAGATGATAGGGTAAGGGTCTTGCATGAATGTGCAATTAGAAATTCAATTGAACGAAAAAAGTTGGACCTATTTTAGACCTACTCATTGATTTTCATTGGACATCACTTACGAAGGAGGCTGACCAACCAACACCATCCTCTATCTTCTATAAATTCAACTCCAGATTGGCAGACACGTAGTGAACAATGATATTTTGTATGCTTTTTACGGGGAGCTATACAGCCTGACATCAATGTTATTGCAATGATGTTAAATTGCTAAAGTTTTCATTTGGCTATTGCAGCATCGCCTATAAAACGTTCTACTACGTCCAATGCTTACCTAGTCTCTCAACCATACTCCTCATGTGCACATAGGCTGATTGCTCTGTCCTTGTGAATTATGTGCCCCCAATAAGCTAGTAGATGAGTTTGAGGAGTGATATCCCCCGGTTTCTTAATTATTGACTTTCAGATTCTGTAGTAGCTAGGACAAACCTCATGTTGTGACCCTCGTTTTTTATTTGATGTTGTGGGGGGGGGGAGGGTTAGCCTATGCTCGGATAAAAAGATTCAATCTATCTAATCATTGCTTTCTAGAGATGTTTATGGAGTCCAAAGCTTCTTGTAGGATTTATTAGGCTAGATAGCGGAACTAGGAGCATGACTTAGCAGATGATCTAGTTGACGATTCATTAATTGATGTAACAGATGCTGGAGTACAAGCATGGTCTGTATAGGCTTATATGAGATAAGTGTTACTATTGTCACAAGCCACTTCATATGAAGCTGGCCTAACTGGAGTCGAATCAGGTTTCTTGACTTAAGGGAGCGCAACACACGTTGCTTCCATTTTAAGTGTTTAGTTTAGTGAGAAGGAGCTCAACTTGATTAAGATTTAAGACCTGCCATGCTTTTTAGGAACATACTGCTTCAGACCTGAGACCCAAGCCCAAGGCCCTTGGGCTCATCATGCCATACCCAACCCTCATACCTCAGGTCAGTAGGTAACTGCTTTTGATGTTTTCCAGATCAAGGGAGATTGCATTTTGCATTGTGCTGTCAATGACTGACTGTCATGATTAACGATATTGTTGATATCTGTTTTATTTTGTTCAGGACTCCAATAAGGATGATAAATTCTGTTTCACTTGTTACCATGAAGCTATTTTTAAATAATGCATCTTACTTATTTGCAGGAAGATCTTTACTACCCACACCCACTCATACAGGACATACTTTGGGCAACTCTTGACAAGTTTGTGGAGCCTATACTCATGAGATGGCCTGGGAAGAAGTTGAGAGAGAAGGCTCTTTGCACTGTGATGGAACATATCCATTATGAGGATGATAACACTCGCTATATATGTATAGGGCCAGTAAACAAAGTAAACAACTATGTCCCTTGAGTTTCTTTAATTTATGTTATGACATATCACATATCTATCTATGTTTTACCGATGCTGGCATTTTAATATGTACCCACTACTAAAAGTGAAAACTAGATGTAAGGGTGTTTTGTTCAAGTTGGTGCAAAAAGTGATATAGATTGTTACAATCAGTAACAAGATGGTTTTGCATCATTCTTGAATGGCATGGATAGAAACTGGGACTATAGATGTTATTTCTTCCTACAATCTCCTGATTAAATCATTCCTGTTGCCCCCCTTCCTGCACTATGATGATACTCTAATCTTTATTTTGAAAATAACTGTGGGTTCATGATTTTGATACATCCAAAGCCTTATCTTTCTAAACATAAATCTTTTATTCAGGTGTTAAATATGCTCTGCTGCTGGGCAGAAGATCCAAACTCAGAGGCTTTCAAGTTGCACCTCCCAAGAATACATGATTATCTGTGGCTTGCTGAAGATGGCATGAAAATGCAGGTATGACACTTAACAATCTTAGGTGCTTTAAGTGATTTGGTTTGTCACTATGTAGGGCACCAAATTATCAACTTCTGGGTGACTTCACATCATGCAATCATTTATATGAAATCTCTTCTTTGTCTACACAAACTACCATGAGGGGGTAAATGGAATCTCATCATACAAGTACTCATTTAATGCAGGGTTATAATGGTAGTCAACTATGGGATACCGCTTTCGCCATTCAAGCTATTATTTCTACAAACCTCATTGAAGAATTTGGGCCAACACTAAAAAAAGGACACATGTTCATAAAGAAGACACAGGTGAAACCGCAGTTTCCCTGATTGCAAACTTTTATCCTTGGTCACATGACATTCAAAGTAGTTATCCTTGCTTCTTTTTAATTGCTTCCTTTCGCTTAAAGGTGTCAGATAACTGCCCTGGCGATCTTGATTATTGGTATCGTCATATTTCAAAAGGTGCTTGGCCTTTCTCAACTGCAGATCACGGATGGCCCATTTCAGATTGTACCGCAGAAGGGCTAAAGGCAACTATCTATTACACTCCATCCTAGTGCTTCCAGTTTTTAACCATTAACATGCTTTTTTTCTTTAAATTTAGGCTGTACTCATGCTTTCAAAATTGCCATCAGAAATCGTTGACGAGCCCTTGGATGCAAAGCGGCTGTATGATGCCGTCAATGTTATTCTATCTTTACAGGTAATTCTGGTTGTAGTAATCAGTCATTCACGTTTATAAGCGCGTTGCTTGCAACATAATGCCACTTCTTGCTTCCCATATCAACCAGTATTTCACCTCAGTTTCTGACAAGTCTGGCCACTGTTTCATTGCAGTTGCCAAAAGAGAGTTGGCTCTCCAAAATAGAACATTAAGTGACATATTTTAGATATGAACTTGAGAAGAATTTAGAACGAATATATGAGCATTTTATGTGATACAAACTAGGGTTTGACAAAGATGTGTTATGTTGTTAGAGTCTTCAAGTATATGATATGACTATGATGTACAATGAAGCTTGAAGTGGAAGTAAAATAGTCGTAATATAAGTAAGAATAATATCCCAAATATAACTTTGAGCTTGTAAGAGTAAGCCTAAATCTGCTATAATTTACAACACCCCTCAAGTTGAAGCACAACGTCCATAATGCCTTAACTTGAGAACACTAGAAATTTGATTTCTAAAAGATTCTGACCACAAAGAATTGAAGGCGGAAGAGCCACCAAACTGACCGTTAGATTCCTTTTAGTAAAACAAAGTGATGCAGATTGTGAAAATTGGTTCTTGCTTGCCCCCTGCTGGTGTGAGGGTGTGTATGTGCTCTGTATGGCAACTCTTGCTCGACCATGGGCATCTTTGTTTTTGGCTGTTAAACTTTTTGACAAAATATGGATCTAAACATTCTGAATCTCTGAGTTCTTTCCTTTTCTTCATTGCAGAATGCTAATGGTAGTTTTGCTACATATGAACTGACTAGATCCTACAGCTGGTTAGAGGTACCCGTGCAATTTTTATTAGATTATCGACTGTAAACATATGGTATATTGTTATTATACTCACTGCAATGCTGTACCTTGTTCATATACAATTCTGCTACTGTGATTGGGTGGTTCATTGTAAGCTGGTCTGTCATGAATACTTTGTTTGGCACTGTTTCATCTAAGAATAATGGATTTAACACACAAGTCGAATTGTCGTTATATTTTCTTTTACAATTAGAAAATACTCATCATAGCAGTGAAGGGGGAAAATCATAACAGTGTGGAAATGCAATGACCAAGTTGATTAATGTGTTGTATTCTCAATTATGTTCACTGCTTCTTATAAACCAATGGATGTTTTTGGAACTGAGAAGCAGGTTTTCTACCACACTCGAACCGAACTCCATAACTGGGTGCTCCTGGAGTCCTTGAGAGGCAGCTAAGACCGCATCTGGTCTCTCCAAAAGACACTTTTCTCATGGATGCATGACCACTCTATATGATGAGTTGGTATTCAATTCAAAGTGGGGGCCTACTTTTCTGTTAATGTGGACCCCTTATGTCCTGTAAGTACTTCAGGGATGGGTTGACACAATATGTGGCTTTGACCTTGTCTCTGAAATGTGGGATATGAGATTGTGGAAGCAAAGTGATAATTGTGGTTGTTTGTAAGAAAAAAAAGAGATGAAAATTCACGCAATTACAATTTAGAATATTTAAGAAAGAGAAACATTCATAACCTACAAAGTAGATATTAGGGTTGAAAATTTAAATTAAAAGGAAAAAGATGCTGCTTACACCTGAGGTATAGAGAAAGGACACAAGTTGACAAAGCCAGTTACAAATATATCCTTGATAGACCTGAGATAGAAGGAGTACCTTTTGTAGATGTTGAGCTTGACATTGAGGATTTCTATGACGGACTAGTTCTATTTATTTCGAATATTCTAATTCTCATTTTAGACACATAACCTTTGGGCATCGTAATAACTGTGTTGATCACTTGTTTATTTACTTGTTCGGTTTTAGACTAATCTTCCCATACGTACACATATACACACCTCATTTCCCAATGTTCAAAATTGCCAGTCATAGTGTGACATAATTTTAATATCATTTAGATGTAATCTGACATTTCTATTTGTCTTTATAACCTCACTTTCAGTTGGTCAATCCTGCTGAAACTTTTGGTGACATTGTTATAGATTACCCGTAAGATATCAGGACCTCTTTTGCAAATCTTTTATCTATTTTATTTGTATGCTGTGGATCTTTGTGCCTGTTTACCGACACTACGATCTTTCAGATATGTAGAGTGTACCTCGGCTGCAATTCAAGCTCTGGTGGCATTTAAGAGATTGTACCCTGGGCATAGGAGAGAAGAAGTACAACGTTGTATTGATAAATCTGCTTCATTCATTGAGAAAATCCAGGCATCAGATGGTTCATGGTTTGTTTTGCATTATATAATCGCAATGACAGGATCCTATGTGCATTATTTTGTCTGTGTTGCTGTACTTTGTGCATGCTGCCTTTGTCACTCATTTGATTGTCAATACACAGTTTATGCACAGGAAATGTATATTTCCGGCCAAATTTATGCACATTTGATTCAATCTAGAATTGATTGTAACATATTGGAAAATGCTCATTAGGTATGGCTCGTGGGCAGTTTGCTTCACCTATGGCACATGGTTTGGAGTCAAAGGGTTAGTGGCTGCTGGAAGGAACTTCTCTAACTGCTCTAGCATTCGCAAGGCTTGTAACTTTTTATTGTCTAAACAACTTGCTTCGGGCGGATGGGGGGAGAGCTATCTCTCTTGTCAGAACAAGGTCAGAATAGAAATTCAGTTAATATGACATTTATGTTTTACTGAATCACATGTACCAAAACTGATGACTCGCACTCGTTTCATGCTTGCATTAATGTGTTAATGTTTTCCATACAGGTGTATACCAATCTCGAGGGAAATCGCTCTCACGTGGTAAATACAGGTTGGGCTATGCTAGCTCTCATTGATGCTGAGCAGGTATGCATCCAAATCCACTGTCAATCTTTACTATTTTATGGGCTGTTTACCAACATTTGTGGGTAAGTGCTAACCGAAATAAGAGGTCTGTTTGAGATAAGAGATCTGATTATGATAAGTGCTGACTCGGAATTATTGTTTATTAATTATTCGTAACAAGTGCTGACAGAGTAAAAATGACCGTCATACCCCTCAGTTTAGAGTAATTGCTTACTTTGGAAACTCTAAATATAAAATAAGATAAACTAAAAAATCATTATGATTAAATTCAAAATTATAAACGAAATCTATTACTAAAATAACACATATAGTGGGTTATTGTATAATAAAATAAAAAGTATAAGGATTATGTTTCATGGACTCTATATCAACAAGGGGTAAAAGGAAATTTTCTAAAATGAGAATGACTCACATAATCATAGTGGCCTGACAAGTTTGTAAAGGTAAATGATATTTAGACAACATGGGATTGAGCAAGTAAAGTAAGATCGGTTTCAACAGCATGTCGATGTCTTCGTTTAACAAAGCCATTTTGTTCGCTTGTATGTGGACATGAGAGGCGATGGGTGATGCCGAGAGGAGAGAAGAATTGGGAGATTCCGAAACTCGCGTCCCTAGTCTGTTTGGACAGATTTCAGTTTGGTTTGAAAATGCCTTTCAACCATCGCATGGAATTGTTTAAAAGTGGCATAAACATCATATTTAGTTTTAATGAAAAAATCCAAATAAATCTGGAGTAATGATGAAATAATTTTGACCATCAAAAGAAGGAGCAGGAGCGGGGCCTCATACATCACAGAAAACTAAATCCAAAATGTGTGAACTTTTATAAGTAGATGGTAACAAATGAAGTTTAGACGATTTGCCAACAAAATATGAATCACAAAAAGTACTAGCACACTTATTTTGTAAAGGTAAATGATATTTAGACAACATGGACTTCAAAAGCTGTGGATGTGGATGTCTAAGTCTTTGGTGCCATGTGGTGGAAGAGGCACGTGCGATAGAAAACGACATTTTCTGAACAGGTTGAGGTTGAGGAGGACAGAAGGAGTAGAGACCACCATTACTTGGACCCGTGAGGAGGATAGTGTGTGTGAACTTGTCCTTCACAACAAAGAAAGTAGAGTGAAATTCAAAGTACACATGATTATCAAAACAAAAATTTTGAACAGAACGTAAGTTTTGTTTTATGTCAAGTACGTGTAGTATGTCTTTAAGGGAATAGGTTTTGTTTGGTGAATAAAGTTGTGAGGAACCAATGTGTAGAATGGGTAAACCCTTACCATTGCCAACGTGAAGGTTGTCCTCACCGTAGTAGGCCTCAGAGTTATCGAAGCTAGATAGGTCCGGTGCAACATGATGGCTAGAGCTCGTATCCGGAAGCCAAGCTTGTGACCGGTAATCTGTAAAGTTGGTAGAAGGTGGTTGTCTTGTCCTCATAGGAGCAGGGTCGCAATTGGGGCAATGAGACGGGATATGACCAATCCCACACCTGTTGCATGTGCCAAAAACAGTGTTTTGATTAGAAGCCCAACTAAATTGATTATGGTTACCTCCTTCTTGACTTTTGTTGTTGTAGTTTCCTCGTCCGCATCTAGAATCACGTCCACGGCCACGGTTATTCCCATATCTGTTGGTGTTAAAGGCCTGTGCAGGCTGTTTATTAACAGGCTGAACTTGAAGACCAAGTTGTGACAGAAATAGCTGAATAGCTTGAAGTTGATCCAGTTGAGGAGTGGATGAGATGGCACCAGGAGCAGCTGAGTTGCGGTTATTCGTAACAGTCGTGAATGCTTGAGGCGGAGAGATGTCAGTTGCAGATTTCTTGATCATATAGTCATGGTCTGATAACAGGCCATGAAGTTCTGCAAAGGCGGTTGGGAATTGGAGACCAAGGAGTGTTGACTTCAGCTTGTTGTATTCTTCTCTAAGACCCGAGATAACCAACATCACCAAATCTTTTTCTTTCATTGGTTCGCCTATATTGGCGAGAGCATCGACATATTTCTGAGCCCTGATCAGGTATGTGGAGGAGGTTTCAGCAGGCTTCATCTCTAATTTAAGAAGCTAAGTTTTTAGGGTGTATTCCCTAGATGATGTGTGAGGAGCGTAAGCACGTTCAAGAGACAGCCAAAGATCACGGGAGGTAAGTCCTTGAACATGTTGGAACAACGCCTCAGAGATTGTAGAAATAATCAACATCCGTATATGTGCATCATTGGAAACCCATGTTGTGTAGTTAGGATGCGGTTGTGGCGGCGGCACTGTGGTGCCGTCGGTATCTTTTCCAGATGATGATGATGATGAGATAGTCAGCGGTGGACAGGGAATGGTGCCATCAACATAGCCGAACAGGTTGCTTGTAACAAGGAACGGTTGAATCATTGCCTTCCAATAGCCATAGTTGTTTGGTGATAAAGTGAAGCCAAAGTTGTGGGAGCTATGGGTGGTTTTCTCGGTTGGAGTGAAAGCTGCAACAGTTATCATTGGACAGAAGCTACGGCAGCTGTAGGGTAGAAGACGGGTGCAGTAGTTTTAGGGTTGCCTTGTGATGGTAGAAGGTGGTTGGCAGAAGGTGCGGTAGCCGCAGGGTAGAAGACAGGTGCAATAGCTTTAGAGTTGCCTTGTGATGGCAGAGGGTGGTCGGTAACTGTAGGGCGGCAACTGTAGGGTGTCTAGGGCCGGCTCTGATACCAAGATAAACTTGGTAATTTGTGTATTGTATATGTAAATCATGATTACAATCTGGGATATATATAAGAGATACATTTACACTCTAGACCCTCTAATATAATTATATATATATATATATATATATATGTCACACTTAATTGTCTAATATCCTAGCATAAGATTTTAAGGTTGGTATGGTACTGAGTTATACTTTTTGTGGCCTTGTTTAGCCTTCCATAGACGACTCTTGATTTCGAATAGTTGGTCAGCATTGCCAACAGCCCAAGATCAGAATAAGTTTCTTGCACCGTTGTCCATACATGATACATCAACTACTGATGGTAAGAACTAGTACGTCTTTCTGACATTTGGTTCCATCAAATTAACCAACCAATGACAATCATGGAATTCTCTTCTGCCCACTTCTGGTACCCTTCTTCACCTTCCCTTGGCCTAATCACAGTAGTTGAGAGATAACCGAACTTGCTCTTGCCTTAGACGTATATTTTTACTGATTGTAACCATTATATGAAGTTTCCTCCATTGAGTTTGTGAGAGGTAATGGAGCTCAGATGTTCAGTTTGAGCAACTGTATCTCCCTCTGTGGGTCGAGATGACTTGTAGAAGTAGAACTTGGGTTGTGATGTTATTTTGTCCTGCCATTTGAGTTAGACAGTGTTGATCCCAAGTAATACTTAGAAACATGAGCAAATAATAATACCTATAAACATGAATGATTCAACTATAGATACAGAAAGAGAAATCCAATGCTTGCAGGCGGTGACAACAGTTGACGGTGAGCCGTGGCAAAAAGAACCGCAAGTTGTTCAATTTAAGATCCGGGAAAAATTCGAAACCGTTCAAATTAAATGGTTCAATCGGGGTTATAGAAGTCAACTATTGATGACTTAATGAAGAAATCGAGTGATTGTCGATCAATGATTGAAAGAGATCGACTAGAAATGACTGTCCATTGAAGAAGAAAATTGACGAAGCCATATGAAAGCCGCTTCTGATGAAGCTGTTTGGAGATGAGACCTTGGAAATCAACTTGTGATGTCGACTGTGCTTTGGTACCATGACAATATAAGTATTTTAAATGGTATAGGAAAGTTTCCTGTATACTCCTGGGGCCTACAGGTGATAAATATTTGTAACGCAAATAACATAAAAAATCATCATACAAGTATACAATCAAATTCCACCAACAGAGTTGCAATACCACGAAGTTGATCTTTCATCAACTAATGATTGTATCCTTAAGTATCAACCCTATGGTTCCATGAGATATCATAGGACTCTATATGATGCTTGTAGAGGGACCTTGCATAATGGCTAATCAAAGTAATTGAATAAGCTAAATAGTCATGTATGAGACATATAAGTTAGGCTTCCTACCATATGTTGATACATTTCTTGATACCGTAACAAGTTCAAGACTAGGATCAATGCTGATTTGCATGTAGTCTGGCCAGTGTTGTCATAATTTTGTTGACAAGTAAAAATTCTCTTCTCAATACGAAAGGAGCTATTTTAGTCTCCCTAATGCTTTGATCTCAAACTCCTTGCTGTAGAATCTGTTAATCCTTAATGTCGCTTGCGGTCACAATCATGTCATTAACGTAGAACAAGAATGTTTAATGAACAATCTATGATCCCTTTGACATTGTTTGCAATCCATGGCTGACATAACTTTTGCATATTTTCCAAAGCATATATCTGGTGATTGCTTAGGGCCATGAAATGCCATTTTAGGCTTATACACAGTATGGGCAGCCACATTTTTTTCATATCCCGATGGAATTTGCAACTAAATTCTCTTCAAGTTTACCACGCAATAATGCAATCCTGACATCTGCTACAATTCCAATCATATTAGCTGCAAATGATAGCATTATTGCAAACCTTAATAATAACTTGAATGTAAAATACATTGAACAAATTAGTGAGAACAATGAAGAATCACCATTCGCCCAAATCTAGTTGCAGAAGCAAAACTCTGATGTGTTCGGCCCAAGTCCTAGACTAAAGGCTTAATACCATAAAAGAAATTGATTATATGTTGTACGATAGTGGATCTGATGGGATGAGATAAAAATACTGAAATAACATAAAACTGTACTCATAAGCCTATAAAAAGGTACAACAATGCATAATTGAGAAATTGATAGAAGTTACTATAAACTTGTCCCAGAAGTTATTCAAGTTCCAAGAACTAATGGGAAACTGATTTTATACTAATTTTTTTTTAAAGTACAGCAATGAATAATTGATTGAGCGTTTTAGGGGGTGTTTGGGAAAACAACTTATTGACTTATTCCGGTGTGGCATCGGTAATAAGCACTTTTGAGTGTTTGGGTAAACAACTTATACCGGTGTCAAACCGGTAATAAGGAGTTTTTTAAGAAGTTAAACACTTCTGACTTATCATAAGTTAATAAGTGCTTTTATAGAAAAGTCATAAGTTGTTTCAGATAAGCAATCCCAAACACCCCCTTAGTGTAAACTTTTCTAGGACGTTATTCAAGTTTTAAACTTTTTTCAGGCCAAGAGAGATCCAACGCCATTGCACCATGCGGCAAGAGTATTGATTAACTCTCAGATGGAAAACGGAGATTTCCCACAACAGGTATCTCATGTCATTTTGATTGTGTCTGGCAAAATCGTTAAAGATATATCTACATGTGATTGCACATTTAGATTTTAATACAAAGAGTACAATTTCGGGAATTTTGTAAATACATATTGAACTCAGAGGCCAGGTGCCGTTAACTCAACCAATTTATTTTACTGGATCACTTGGAGATATCTTATATTACATAGTAAAGCACGTAAGTGGGAGACTATGTGAACGACCTTATCTATATCCCATCACAAAGCTTTGATGCTCATTTGTACAACGTATAACGGAAGCTAAAAATTGGCTGTATGATAAAGAAACAACAACACTGTTGACTTGCTTCTTATTTGTTATTCTTTCAGGAGATCATGGGGGTTTTTAACAGGAACTGCATGATTACGTATGCTGCATACAGAAACATCTTCCCTATTTGGGCATTAGGAGAATACCGCTGTCGAGTGCTTCAGGCACCATGTTAAATTTACTTTCACACTAATCCTCCATTCATTCAAATCTTTCTTTGTTTGCCTTGAGTAATCTGAAAGGGTAGTTCCGATTGTTCTATTTCATCAATCTTCAACTTGTGGCCCAAGATTTATAGGCTTAGCTGCTATCTTTGCTGCTCTTATGGATTCTTGAATGGGAAAAATGTATCAAATGCAATAAAGTTTTGTTTAGTTTCTAGCTTACTCATGCAACCACAGTGGATACAAATGCTACTCTCCTGTCACTAAAAACATTGAGTGGTGTACTTAAGACGACTAAAGGTTAGGGGTGAAGAGGAAGCAGACACACATCGTTTCCGGGAGGCCAATCTAAGTTAGGAGTCAAACCGAGTTTTGCATAAATGTATGAGTTCTAATCTACATGAATGTATCCCTTTAAGGTTATTGTTGAACTTGATGATGTCGACGCTCCTATAGCACTAAGAAAATGAGAAAGATCTTGCACAACGCACGTTAGTCAGTAACCTTTAGCTGGATAGGCACCAAGTTTGCAATCTAGTCCCTCGTCCAGTGAACAAGTTAGTGAAGAGGAAGCAGACACACATCGTTTCCGGGAGGCCAATCTAAGTTAGGAGTCAAACCGAGTTTTGCATAAATGTATGAGTTCTAATCTACATGAATGTATCCCTTTAAGGTTATTGTTGAACTTGATGATGTCGACGCTCCTATAGCACTAAGAAAATGAGAAAGATCTTGCACAACGCACGTTAGTCAGTAACCTTTAGCTGGATAGGCACCAAGTTTGCAATCTAGTCCCTCGTCCAGTGAACAAGTTAGTGATATGAACCAAGTGGGTCTATCAAAACAAGCTGAATGAGGATGTCACTGTAACCCGAAACAAGGCGCGACTTGTTACTCAGGGATACAAACAAGAGGAAGGTATAGAATATGATGAAACCTTCACGCCAGTGGCTAGGCTCAAATCAATTATATTATTTTTAGCCTACAATATGGACAAGGATTTCAATTATACCCGATGAAGGTAAAGAGTGCCTTTTTGTTAGCCCTAATTTTCATATGTCAAAGTATTGTAAAAGAAACCAAGAATTATGAACCAGAAGGCTTTTGTACTAGAAGTTATGACATAACTAGAGCTAGAGCCAAGTTACTCAAAAGCAGAGGGTGCCCAACCAGAAGTTAATCTCGAAGAGGTAGAGCCTCTGGTCCATCTCCAGTGCTCAGTGTTCAACTTTGAAGATCTCTCTAAGTGCTGTAACCAATTATAGCCTGCCACATCAGCATGGAGCGGTGTTCCACTTATCCATGTGGAGCTCATTCATTGGAAGATGTTTTGACTTTCTTTATTTAGACTATAAATAGGAGATCCTTTAGGGTTTTCAACGATTAAAACACTTAGAGAGAGAAAACATTTTTGAGAGATTTTACACATTTGAGTTTGTGTTCTTGGTGTAATTTTAATATTCTCATATTGCAATCAATACACATGATGACGTTGGTGATATACTTTCTTGTTTGTATTTCTACCTTCATCTTCATTACTGTTTTTAGTCTATAGTAGTAGTTTATGCAAATTTGCTATTGCTCATATCGTTTCATTTGTGTAACTACTTGTAAAAGAGAATCTGGGTTCTTACAATTGATATCAGAGCTTACTGATTAATCTATTGATCAGATCGATCCAGTTTGTTATGGATTTTTATTTTTTACTAGACTATTTCTTATTCGACTTTGAGATCACAGTCGAGATCCTTGTTTTTCCAGTTTTTGCGACAAGTTCATAATTCTGGAAAATCAAGTGATTAATTACTTTTCTTAAAAGAAACAATGTGCAAATTTTCTCTCTCAACAAGTTTTCATGGCCAGTTTTAGTGATAAACAAAGTTTTTCAAGTTCAATTTGATAAATACTCTTCGTTTTTCTGTCAAAATGGCAAATCCTGTGTGGAACTCCTTTACTGCAACAACCTTCTCCACAACCACCATCGACCACCACCGTCCATTGCCACCTCGCCTCCACCACAACTATCATCACTACATCAGCCACAACCACCTCCTCCATTGTTGTCAACCGCCACTACCACCATCTTCACGTCCTATATAACCATTGTCGTCCACCAACCACCACTGCCTCTACCTCCATAACCACCGTCGGCCACAGACTACCACCACCCATCGCCGCTACTACCGTCGGCCACCACCACCTCCACTATAACCAAAACCACCTCATCCACTGTTGTCAACCGCCACCACCACCACAATCTACCATCTTCACGTCCTCTATAACCATTGTCGTCCGCCAACCACCACTGCCTCTACCTCCATAACCACCGTCGGCCACCGACTACACCACCCATCGCCGCTACTACCGTCGGCCACCACCACCTCCACTATAACGAAAACCACCTCCACCACCACTATTACCATCAATTATATCAAAAAAATTATTAAAATTTGATACCATTATATATGTATGTATTCATTAATATGAAAATTATGTAAATATATTTATAAATTAAATTCTTTAATAATATACTTTATTTGTGTTAATTATAACTATTATATAATGTTTAAAATCATCAAATAACTTTTGGGAGTAACTTGTCTAGTTCTGTCTCGTCCAGTCCTAGTCATACCGAACACCAAATATAGATTTGTTCTATCTAGTCCAATCTCGTCCAGTCCTTTCCAATCATGTTTGCGTACCTAAAGAAGATGGAGACAAGGTGATGGATAACAGATCGTCTACATATCTTTCTTGAAGCTTTACGATGGCAGTTATCACTATACTCTTGAAGGGAAGGAGATAGATGATGTTCACCAGGAGACAAGAAGGGGGCAGAAAAGGGGGGTTTCATAGGATTAGGGTTGTGGTCAAGGTTGGGGAGGGAGAGGGGGCATCGATGTGTATATAAATAAAACATTATTATTTATATATTATTTTATATAAATAATAAATAATTAACCACAAGAATGGTTCTTGATTGGTTTGAGTTTGACTCCAAAAGTCAAAAGTACCACGAGGTTCAATGTTCAAATCTAAGGAGGAATAAAAATCTTCTTGTGGTTACGGAGGTTCAAATGCGGTGACTCCGGGCTATCTGTAAAGCAGGTGGTCATCCTGGGATTAATCGGCTCGATAGCGAATTGGATATCCAGGTTAATAAAAAAATAAAAATAAATAATAGGTTTGAAAGCATTTGATAAGTTTCAAAAGGTTTTACCCTCAATTTTTTTAATAAAAACATACAAAATGGCATAATTATCATCACCCAAATATATTATTCAGGACTACAAGGGTACCCGTACAATGTAACAAGATACATCTCAATTTTAATGTTTCGTTTTTTTTTGTCTCTGTCGATAATATAAAAAAATAGAAAAAAATATTGATATAGTACCAAAATGACTTTAATTTCTTCTTTTTGTGTATTTTTTAATTCATTTTTTTTGGGTTTAATAATGTAATCTTTTATAATGATAATAATTAAGTATTTTGTTAGAACTCAATGATTATCTTAATTATATTTTTAATTTTTTTATTTAAAATGAGATGTTTATTCTCTATGGGTGCGTTTGGTGCGCAGACAGGACAGGACGGGACAGGACGGGACGGGACAGGACGGGACAGGACAGGACAGCTGTTCAGCGTTTGGTAAGACAGGACAGGACAGGACAGAACTGGTTAAAATGACCAATTTACCCCGTGAGTTGTTTAGTGTTTTTTCACTATGAAATCAAGTAAACTCTCATAATCAATTCAGCAATTATAATCAATGTAAACCAATTCATCAACAACAACATTCAGCAATCATAATCAATTCAGCAATTATAATCAATGTAAACCAATTCATCAACAACAACATTCAGCAATCATAATCAATGTAAACCCTAAATCGATTGCTGTAATCCTCTTAGCATAAACAAGCTGGTAAAAATGTAGTTGATGTAATCCTCTTAGCATAAACAAGCTGGTAAAAATGTAGTTGTTGTAATCCTCTTAGCATAAACCCTAAATCGATTCAAACCTAGCAAACCCTAAATCGATTCAAACATAGCGATGGAGAAGGAGAAGGTTAGGGCAATCATATACCTGATGAAGGAGAAGGTAATGTGATGGAGGCGGATTGTGTGTATGGACTAGAACTCCCGTTGCCGTCGAGATGGAGGGTGTGCGATGGAGGGTGTCGTCGCCGTCGAGATGGAGGGTGTGCGATGGAGGGTGTCGTCGCCGTCGAGATGGAGGGTGTACGATGGAGGGTCGCCGATTGAGGCTGTGCGATGGAGGGTCGCCGATTGAGGCTGTGCGATGGAGGGTCGCCGATTGAGGGTGTGCGATGGAGGGTCGTCGATTGAGGGTGTGCGATGGAGGGTCGCCGATTGAGACGCTGTGAAGGGGATGAAGAAGACGGTGGAAGGGATTGAGGGTAAAGGGGTAAAAAATTCCTTGTTCTAGTTAGTTCCAGGGGTAAAGGGTGGACTTCCGTGTCCCACCCTTGTTCTAGTTAGTTCTAGTTAGTCCCACATAAAGCCATAACAAACATGGTACAAGTGTGTTCTGTTCTGTCCTGTCCCACCCTGTTCTGCCTACCAAACGCACCCTATTTGATTATGTTTATACGCAGTTAGTTACACAAATTCAAATATTAAGCTTTAATAAGTTGTACTTATGCAAAATTTACTTGTAATCTTGATTTTTAAGTAATACGAATCAATAAACGATACTTTATGCATAAAAAATAGTTTTTAAATTTTTTTATCAAATACTTTATAATATTATACATAAATACATTTAGCACATCAAACAAAACAGAACATGAATCACTGACCCACCTTAATCACTGACCTAATGCAGAGTTGACTACTCTAATTTTTATATCATGGGATCTGACTGTAAACGTTTTTCATATTGAGGGACCAAAGTGTAATAACCACGTAATCGAAGGATCAAATTGAAAAGTTTTCTCGAAACCAGCAGACAAATAAAAGCCCCAAACTTCAATTCAACAACTTCCCAGCTCTCTCTCTCTCTCTCTCTCTCTCTCTCTCTCTCTCTCTCTCCCCTTCTCACCCTCGATTCTCAGAGACGCACCGATTCTCCGATCATCGCCGCGCCATCATGTGCTACGGTTCCCAGCGATTACCACCGTCCGGCGAAGAAATAACTCCTTCGACTGTCAGGGCTCGGCCAACGACGGATGTAAACACGGCGGTGGTGGAAAGTCTGAGATTGCGATTGGCGGAGACGGAGGCACAGCTGCAACGAGCTAGGGCACGAGAGGCGGAACTCAGCAAAAAGCTTTTTGAGATGAAACGTTTCGTGTCTGTAATGGAGATTCTTCAAACCTATCTCAAACAAAGATTTCTCGATCAACAACATCAACTTTCCCTTCTTGTCTCTCAATCTCCGGTACCCAAATAAGTTTTCAGTTTTGAATAAAAACTAGAAGTGTATGGTTTCCATGATTTACTTTCAATATGCAATTCATGTATGTCTATTTGTGTATAATAATAGGTGTATTTGCACTCTTTTTGTCTCTTTATCGATCAATCTGATGTCATATCTGTCATATTTCTCTGGTTTACCAACTTGCATTTCCCCCAATTTCACAGATTATTTCTTAAATGGTTTTTAATTCTGCACTTAGTGGTTTAAAGGTGATATCAAAGGGCTTTGTGTGATGAACTTTTTGGGTCCAGTTTTGAGTGCCTTTTTCATGAAACTTTTACCTAGTTTCAGGGACATGGAATACATGGTTTCTTATCTAATTGGGAGCTCGTTTTCAAAAGCAGAAAAAATAGCAGATTTTGAGCCAATTCAACATCCTAGTTTCCTACCTTCCATTAAACTTTCATGTATCTTAGTGATATGTGTAGAACTAGAATGCTTTTTCTCCTAATTGTCATTGGCAAATGTTAGTTTGCCATCAATGGTGATGCAGATTCTAGGTTGACAATAATGCAAGAATATTATTTGAATTTGGTCCTTCTATGGTGGGGTGTAAAGGTCTTTGTCAAATACTTTTTGCTTACACTTCTTCTCAAGTCAGGTGTCTTCATGAAAACAGCCTCTCTACTCTTTTAGACAGAGAACAGATCTGTGTAGTTTGGTTTGGTTTATGGTGGACAGTAATGGTCATAGTCTGGAAATTGCAATGCTATACTCTTCCTCTATACTGTCAGAAGATATGATGTAATCTCTTGTCACATTATGTCTAAGTAGTTGGTCAATCATTTTTTGTTGATTAAAATTTGGTTCTGGCTTCTCAAAGTTCAGTTTTTACTGTGAAAATGGCATCATTTTTGCACTGCAATATTTGGTAACATTCATAAGTTATTATATGCTTATTTCCTGATAAATGTAAATTTGTAGTCAATGTTATGGTCTCCTACCCATGAGCATATGAGCTTTTATGAGTTCAGGTAGAGCACAGTTTGGGAAAAAGTATTGGAATAACTACAACAATATCGGGTTTATAAAATGCCAAAAAAATGTCCAATTGTCATGATATACTGCTTTATAAGAGTTAAGTTTATAGGACCGAACACTTGTGCGTTCTTGTAAAAGTTTTTAGGACAGTTTGGGACATCATAAACAAGTTTTGAGGACAGTTTTGAAATATAACATCCTGTTAAAAAATTTACGACATCATTTGGAAAATGTCTTATAAAAACTAATGTCCTGTGAAAAACTGTATTCATATGACGCTTCTTAAAAGTTTCTAATAAAAAAGGTAATAGTCTAAATCACTTGTTAAGTCGTTCCAAAGAGTGTTATAAGCTTATTGTAACACTTTTATATATGACATTATTATTTGGTCCTATAAACTTAGTCCCATAAAGCAGTCTATTTGAACCAATTCAGTAGTTCCATGGAGGACCAATTGCTTTCAGTTGTGTTTAGTTTATATGTTACTTTGTGTGTTATCATATGGCTTAGGAATTGCTTCCAATTTATGGTAACTGGTACTGGATTTGGAGGGATTATAACCTTTAAACCAACCAAACAGGTCCTTGAGTTTTGACAATAAGTTCTAAACATACAGTTGGGCTTTTGTTCATAGATGATAGAAAAATTGTTTTGGTGCATCTTAACCAACTTTGATTTGAAGTTAAAATCTCTATTTGAATTCTATCATATATATATATATATATATATATATATATATATATATATATATATATATATATATACTACCTTATAAACCAGATTTATCAAAAGTCTTAAAANTATATATATATATATATATATATACTACCTTATAAACCAGATTTATCAAAAGTCTTAAAAACAATTTTTAATGCACAAAGTACTATACATTTATGCACAAAGTCTTAAAAGTCTTAAAAAGCAACTCATAATGCATTAAGTACTACTACTTTATGCATTCAATATTAAAATCTCTTAATCTATAATTAAAATAAGGAAAAAGTTCAAAAAAACTCAATGGACTTTAGTGTTTGAAATGATTAAGTTTTTGGACAATTTTTTGGAACAAATAAGTCATTGGATATTTTAAAACCTGTTAAATAACTTCTTGGACTTTATAAAACCTGTTAAATACATCTTTAAGATAACCGGCAACCTCTTTAGCAGGTAAAAATACAAATTAATATATATACACACACACGCGCCACAAACATCATCCTTCATCCATTGAGAGAACCTTGTCCCTTCCATCCGGTGACCATCTTGGTCTCTCCCGACCCTCTTATTCTTCTCCACCGATCAATATTGAGATTGAGCTACGTTCTTCTTCGGCGACATAAACCCAAGTTCAAGATCGTGTTCAACCCAGAAACTTTTATCTAGAGAAGAAACCACAGGTGACCATCGAGATTGAAGGGAAAAACCACAGTCCATAGGTGACCATCGATATCGAGATTGAGCTTCGCTCTTCTCCCCTTCCCTAATTAAAACCTACCTTGAAAATGAGATAGTGGATTGAACTAGACATCACCAATGGGAGGAAGGAAACAATGAAGAAAAATAGGTCGTATATAAAGGAGAGTATTGGCAGCAAGAAGGGCAGCCGTGATAGGGGGTTTACGTTGAAGCATTCGGTACCTCCAATAGCAGCAGCGTGTTTTCTTCCTTTCCTTGAGGCTGAATCAAAATCCCTCACACCCATCTTGATCTTCTTCCCCTCCAGTGCTGGAACATTTTCTTCCCCCTCCTTATCGGTGTTGCAAGCCATTCCTTGATGTTGAACCAAAATCAAAGGAGAAATCCCAAAACCCATCTGAAATTGAATCACAAATCAGTCCTTGAGGTTGAATCAAAATTACAAACATGTTCATCAATCATCATCAAAACCCATTTGAAGTTGAATCAAACCTAAAAATGGAAAACCTTGACCCTTATTTTGGGCAGCAAATCATCGATTGTGAATGTAAACAGTAAGCAAATCGGTCACTAAGAGCAGATCGAATTGAGTATAAACCGTAAGTAGTAAGCAAATAGGTCATCTAATTTGTATTTTTACCAGCTAAAAAAAGGTTGCCGGTTATCTTAAAGATGTATTTAACAGCTTTTAGAAAGTCCAAAGAGTTATTTAATAGGTTTTGAAATGTCCAAGGGTTTATCTGTTCCAAAAATTATCCAATGACTTAATCATTCCAAACATTAAAGTCCATTGGGTTTTTTTGGACTTTTCCCTAGTACAGGTTACCAATGCACATTATTATCTTTTCTTTTTATGTTCCCAAGATGCTTTTGACACATTTCACTCATGTCTTCCCCCTTTCATACCTCAATGTCTTCTCCTCATCCCCTAAGGTGAGATTTAAACTGATATTCACCAAGAGTTATTAAACGTTCTCTCATTCATTGCTCTAGAACTCTCGGTCTTGGTTTTGGTCTCTTGATTCTTTGCTCTTGGTTTAAATCGAACACATTTATGGAGTCGTTTAAATATGTTGGATTTTAAACTGTCATATAATTTTTTTCATCGATAGGCTGTAATTTGAACCATAACTCTTATTTATTCAAATTGTATTAATATGTAAAAGCCATGTGTAACTTATATCATCGTTAAATTTTCTCTAATAAAACCCGTGAAGTTTCAAAATCGTTAAAATTCATGGCTCCCGCTACATTGCACAGGTACACAACTAGTAGGATATAAATCATGTATGGATATGCATGTATGTACTATATCAATGTTAGCCCCAATCTTCAGCTTTTTGTCTCTTGGAAAGTGTAATAGCATATATTTTGTGTCTCTCTGTCACAAAATAAATGTTTTAGAAAAGTTTACGGTTTTAAAATTGTATAATTACAAAATGACAATTTTATCTTCAACAATAAAAGGAGTAATGGATTTCTTACTATCATAATTAAGGGTAAAATTGAAAAGCAGATATATGCTTTTAAGAGCGGACTCTTATTTTGAAACAAATTAAAATAGAAAAATGATCATTTATTTTGGGATGAAAATGTTTTAGGAGCCTGAGGAACTCATGAACAGAATCATAATTCATAGTTTAATTGACTTTCTTGGGATGGTGTTGAAGATTGAAATCAAGTTGAAAGCTTCTTATATTAAAAAGTAATTAACATGTTGATTTTTCTTTTGCAACTATGATAGATTAGTGCAAACAAGTTTGGATTTTTGGGCTCTTATAGGTAGGAGTGCTCAAAAACCCGACCAACCTGATAAACCCGGTCAACTCAACCCAACCCAACGTGAAATAACTCAATCTGATGTCTAATCGAGTTGTAAAATTTTCAAACCGTCGGTATTGGGTTGATATTGGGTTATTATTATTTGAACTCAATCTGATGAACCCAATATCCAATTATTTCTTGGATTTAATATGATTGTTGAATTTCTTTTAATATATACATTAGACAATTACACTATCACATATGCTATTCATATACACATCTTTACAATCTATTCACATCTCTATATAACTCATTCGTATATATGTTCAGTAACTGTACACATATATACGTAGATTGAGAAAATTAACTGAATGTAATATACGTAAGAAATATGGATAAGTTGTATCAAATGGTTGATGATGAAAAAGAAATTATGAGTAGAGAAATAACATATTTAAGGTTAGAAGAATATTGTAATGTACCAAAGTATCAACCCGACCAACTCGTATGGTTTGGTTTGGTTTGGTTTGGGTAGGGTTGTACTTTCGTTTGGGTTAAGATTTTCAAACCGCAAGCATTGGGTTGAGTTGTTCAAACAACCCAACCCATGAGCACTCCTACTTATAGGTCATCTATTCGAGTACGTTCAAGGTCATTGGGGATTTTTTGGCTATTTTTTAGGGTCACATGAAATTAATTGAGTTGTGTGCAAGTTAACTCAGACACCTATGATCACCAAAAAGAACATATTGATTTTTTGTTCTGGTTTGTTTTTTTCTTTTTAGGGAAATACTTGATGCATGTGATGTTAAAACGTTTTTGATTTGGGATTTGGGGTGTAAAAAGATTTGTTGTTTACTTTCTTTCAATAGTCTCGTCCAAGGTTTTAAAAGGCGAAATCGAGCATCGAGGCATTTTCCATTAACGAGGCAAGGCGTAAGCCTCGAGACGGAAATATGTATACACCAAAATATGTATATATACTACACACACATACATAC